GGGTGTCCGGGAGGAAGGCGGGGGGGAGGACGCCCTGCAAGGGGGCCAAGAGGCCAGGCGGGTGCTTCGGGCCCATGTGTCCCAGCTTCAGAAGGAGAAAGCGGAGCGGTTGCAGGAGCTTGCCTTTGTCCAGGACCGTTTGAAAGCCACGGAGGAAGAGCTCGAAGAAGTGCGGCATGCTCTGGCCGTGGCGGTAGGGGGAGAGAGAGGGATGGAGGAGAAAGAGTGGCTCCGCCGGGAGTGCATGACCTGGAAGGAAAAGGCAAGCAAGCTTGAGGAGGCGGTGGGGAAGAAGGTGAGGAGGGTGGAGATGTTGGAGGAGGATTTCCATGGCGTCTTGCAGGAGAAAGAGGGCCTGAAGGCGCGAATGAACGCGATGGCGGCCGCACTGAGCGCAGCGCGGGCTGAGGCGGGACGTCTCAGGCACCGGACGCCCTGGGCCCCGGAGGGTGGAGAGAAGGAGGGCGGGGCAAAGACAAGGAACGCCAAGGGGCCAGGACGGGCACGGCCAGGTTTGGAGGAGCGTCCGCATGGGGAGGACGAAAAGGAGATGCGGCAGTTGAGGTCGCGGGTGGAGTCGTTAGAGCATGCCTTGGAGGGCGCCCAAGGGGAGGAAGCGGCCGAGGAAAGCGATCCAAGCAGGCAGATCGCGGCGCTGGAGGAGGACCGCAGGCGCTTGCTGTCCCTCTTGGCGACGGCCAACGCGCGGATCAATGCCTTGGAGGGTACATCCCGGACTGAGGCTGAGGAGAAGGCGCAGGGAGGAAGGGAGGGAGAAGAAGTGACAGTCACCTTAGCCGAGGTCCAACGGGAACTATTGCTCCTTCAGACGGCCCATGCCGCCCAAAGCCAAGAGTTGGAGGCAGTCATGCGGGACAGCGTCAGGGAGAAGGACGCCTACCACGAAGCCTTGGCGCGTTTGGAAGTGGCGCGGGCAGAACTGGCGCGGAAGGAGGAACAGGTGGAGCAATTCAAGAGCTTGTTTGACCAATTGCACACGGGAAGGGACCAAATCAATGTGCGCCTGCAGCAATCCTACGCAGAGATTACGGCGGCGGAGGAACGGGAAAGGGAAGCGAAGGACAAGGCGCAGCGACTGGACCGTCGGGTGGCGGAGAAGGAAGAAGAGGTGGAGAAATTGCAGCGGCTGATCAGGGAAATGGAGGAGGAGCGACAGGCCTTGCAAGGTCGGCTAGAGCAGGCCGAAGAAACGGAGACCGTCTGGAAAAGGGAGCAAGCTCAGTATGAGCGGACGTTGCGTCGAATGGAGGGAGACTTGGAGGAGGAGGGCCGGCAACGGGAAGCGGCGCGGGAGGCTTTGGCTGGCAAAGAGAGGGAGGGAAGGGCCCTGGAGCGGAAGATGGCGGGGTTGGAGATGGAGGCAGGGGCGGCCAAAAAAATGGTGCACAGCCGTCTGTTGGAAATCAGGGCTTTGCGGGACGATTTGATGATCATGACCCGGGAAGCCCAAGCCACGCAGGGCCAGCTCCAGCGGGCGGAACGGGAGAGGGAGGAGTACCGGCAGGTGGTGGAGGAGTCGCGGATCCGAGCGGAGGAGGCAGAGGGATCGCTTCGAGGGATGGAGGCAGAGAGGAACGACCTGCTGGGTTCCTACAAGGCTGCTCAGGAAGAAGTAAGTCGCCTCACCTACAACTTGAACCAGCTTGGGCGGGCGCAGCGGGAGCAGCAGGTGGCCTTGGGTCAGACAAGGGCTGCCTTGTTGTCGATGGAAAAAGATTTGGTGCAGGAGCGACGGGAGAAAGCCCAGACGTTGGCTCATGCTGCGGAGATGTCCGCTGAGGGGGAGAGAGGAAGGTCGGGCGGAGTGAGGGATCATCCGTTTGTAGGGCGGGACATTGGCGGGGCGGCAGGAGGGCTTGAGCACCGCGGGCGTCTCTTCGGGAGGGAGAGTGGGCGCGAGGGAGGGAGAGCAGCGGATGTGGTGGAAGCACGAGCACTGGCAGCGGAGACGGAAC